CATAGATCCATAGGCCAACATTAGAGCCATTTCCCCTACATTTGGGAAGTGCACGTTAAAAAGTCTTCATTGTGCCCTCAGGTTACGGTACTTTCTTTAGAAGTTTCTCTTAGTAGCTTACAAATACTTAAATTGTATCGATTGCCCGTCGCCACGCTACTCTAATTACAGAAATACTGGCACGCAGCAAAACAAAACAACCATTATATCTAAAGGTCATCCGTTAACTGTATCATTATTAAGTATGTTAGGTAGTGCCAGACCTGTTACACTTGTCATAATTGGAACATATACCCTACATTTAATTAACACCAAATTGAAAAATCATTAAAACGCAAATCTTTCATCATTCAACAAACATTTGAGATACACCGAACCAGTGTTTTATCACGGCAAATACTCGTGCCACACCCTTGTCTCTGACAAATGTGGCTCATTTTTCCATTCGTTCGTCAGCTTCCAATTTATCTTACTCTCACAGGCGTTCAGAGGAAAACTGAAAGGAAATCAACGGTAGCTGTCATGTTTGTATTACGATGTTTATAGAGCGCATATCAATCGCACCGTTTGGCGGCAAAGGGTTAATCGGCGTTGAAAGTGAAATGCCCGATGCGTACTGCGATGACAGTAGACCATGGTGGCGGCAGTGGCGGCGCTTTTATGCTCCCGGGCGGTCCGTCTGAGCTTTGGGAGTGCGGCATTTTCCTTTTCTTCATCACTCATCATTCCGTTTGCATACTCACTCAAACATCCATACACATCACACATATTGAGAGGGAGATCGGGAATGGTTCGTACCCGCCCAACCATCACATCGATCAGCAGCTTTTTAGTAAATGAAAGAGTCAGTTCGAGGTTGGAAGTCGAAAGTGCGGATGAATCGCATTTGTTTACTCGCCCAGTCAGCCTTTGATCATCCGCCACCAGTTCAACTTGCCTTTTTACGCTTCCATCTTCGACCCGTCCTCTGACAGTCGCCCTCATTCTCTTCAGGAGATCTACTGCGCGTTGTTATGTGTATATATTAAGCCAAAAGACAGCCGCATAATGTGAGATGAAATGAACCGAAAAACTGAAATGAAATATAGGTATCTGTTTCGAATGATTTGTGTTTACATTGAAAAACTAACATTGCTACTTGCTCTCATAATTAGAAGACTGGCAAATTTTAAATTGTTGAATTTGAAATAAAAGTGGCTTTTAGTATATTAGTGAAATTTCATTTGAGCAAATTTTCAACATATTTGACACACAAATAAAATATAATGAAAAGAGAAAATTTTCAATTGTAAAGTTAGTAACCTAAATGATACAAGAATATTTTCAGTATACCATGCTTTACAGCCTATCTCCGCGTATCCCTACAGGTGTAATAAGAAATAACTAATTGTACACGTGACGCAATATATCTACGTGTCAAGTATAATTAAATGCTTCGAGCCTGAAAATTTCATTACTCGAAGAAAAGTACGTTTGATTGAACTATATTTCAGGTATGTTATAACTTAAATTTATGTTGAAATTGACGCTCGTATATGTCACGCTCAGTGCACCTAAATTTACATGAACTTTTCTAAGTGTTTAGGTAAACAACTTCAACAGAGTATGCTCATTTTACCCCTAATCATCTAAAAAGTAACAACGCGATCTTTTACCGATTGAAGTAACAAAAAAAAATTTCAATTGGTGTTAAAACTGATGATCGTAAATTGAAGGTGGACTCTTCTTCCCCACTCATTGGGAAATCCCATCGTGCGATGGCTTGTACATTACCGGGTTGTAGGATTTTATTGATGGAAGGAGATTCTCTTTGATCCCGCAGACTAAGCGTAAGTGTTTCTGCTTACAGGTTCACTCTCCGTTTTTGGCGCTTCATACAATGGTAAATTGAATACAATCAGGTGTTGTACTTGATAAAGTCGTACGAGGTGGACATTCCATTGTATAATGGTTGAGCCATACAAAATGCATTTTTTTTTTGCCGCTGTACAACATTTTTAGGACATTATTTTGTTTTCTTGATCTAAACTCAAGTTAAAGCTCATATTTGAATCATTATTTATTACTCTCTAATGCATCTTCTTTGGGAATTTATAGTAATTTGGTATACTAGTTGAAAAGTTACAGCTATTGATGTGTGTGTCATTTTCAACGAATACACCCTTTAATATAAATATTATTGACTTGTGCACCCAGGAATGCAGGAATGTGTTCAAAACGAAATGCGGTGACAGTTAATTAAATCAATATGCAAGTTGTGCGTAGAACAGTCAAACAATGCTACTAAGCAAACTTTAAATTGGGTTTTCTCGAGATAAAAAATAAGCACTTAAGAGCCACTCACAATCGATGCGTTTGCGATCCGTTGACGTAAGCTTGACAGATAACCCAGTTAACTGTCCAATGCAAGCTAACGCCAACGGACCCTATCCATTGTGGATGACCATTCCAGCTGGTCTGACTTATCACCAACCATATACCCCCGATTCTTTTTTTTTTTTGCACGGTTACATTTCTTAAAATTTCTTGTTCTGGGCTCTATATGTTTCTATAAGTAAATTACGATCTTTTGAAACTAGTTGCATTCAGTTTTGGTATCATTGGGAAAAAATACAACCGTGCTAAAACAAAATATTCCGGTGTATCTGTACATTTGTTTATGGTTTCCCTGAGGACGGCATCGGCGAAATTGTTAATATTCATACCTATCTCGCCAAAGTCATCAATTCAAATCTCACCACTGGACAAGCCACGAAAGACAAAAGAGTGTTAAAGTGACTATTATAAAAAAAATGGGTACTACTTCTGGAATCACGTCATATGTTTTGTGTAAAATTACCCGAACTTTCAATTAGGGTAATTTTCCAAATGTTGCACACCACCTAATTGTTGCACTCTTCACATTGTTTACTGTACAGCATCTATCGATGGCCATGAAGATTACCGATCATGGTGACATGTTCATCAGTCGTCAATTGTTGAATAATAAAACATATGTGTACTCCTATCCAACAATGTAAAAATTACTGAAAACATGTTAATAATTGGATCTCATTTGGACTCTTGGTGCTGGATTATTGTCCATGGGCAAAACACCTAAAGGTATCAAACAGTTCGGAAAAAAACAGCTGTTGCGTATATTTTCCGTTTTTTTTTTGTTTTTGTGATATAAAACTGCATATATTTTCCTCCCATTGGTGACCGGTTCAATACAATCAATCAAATAACTGATACCAAGAGTACAGTTTTCAATGAAAGCTACTTTCAATCATCTAACAAAATTACTGATTCTTCTTGCTGAAAATTTCATTCCAAGATGCATGTAGTCAAATTTTATGGGTGTACATAATTAGATGCAAAGTGTACAATACTATAATTTCAAGGCAAATGATGCTTCCAACAAATGGGCTCTGAGACACATTCAAACGTTTTATTATACGGTATTTTTTTACCAATATACATTTTTGATGAGCTCTGGAAATGCTTCATAAAACTAATTCGAAATTTATTGAGGAAATCCTTTTTCAAAAACATTTTCAATCTAGTTATAACTCAAAAAAACACGTGCTTCGCTGGGAAACAATTGCAAATTACTCTAATATAAACGAACCATGTATTTTGAGTCTTAATCACACAACACATAACACAACACATAGAAATTAAAAACAACCCAGAATTAAATTCATTTCACTCATAGCCCATCTTCTATACGATAACCTAAATTTGAGTAACCCAGTTTAAAGTAGTTTGTATTTAGCTACGGCAAAAAAAAATACTCACTAGCTAAGTCTTGCTACACAAAATTAAGTTTAATTCACTTAAATTTGGGTTTATATTACATTACTCAATTTTGGTTTCTTGTACAGAACAATGATCCGAATCTTTCGTTGTATTTTTGACAACAATAGTGAGAGGGAATGAAACGAAGAAAGGTGGCTAAACTCAAATTTGTATTTAAAAAACCCAAACTATGGGTAGTTTTATTTTTCTGTGCACGCTGCCAAAAACATGTCATAATGCAATAGTGACGGCAGGTTTAGACAGCATGCTTGTCTGAGGCCTTGTTTTTCCCTGCTGTCCAATTTAATTTCACGCCTTCACGAACCGACCGTCATTCGTCAGCTGTCCAAACTGTCGGCGCTCTGTTTGCAAAGCCGAGAGTGAAGATTGCGCAAAAATCACCGTCACACTCTGGCTTACAGTTTCCGCTACAAGCCCGCGTCCCAGAAATCGTTTTTTACCTTCATCTTTCTTCTTGTGGTAAAAAAGCGAGAATAAAATGGAAATAACTTTATTTGTCTCTGGTCTGCCTGCGCTTTAATCCTCCCTCTGATGGAGTGGTCATTAGGCGCGGTACATAAATTACGTAACACACAAAATCAAGATTTTGGACACTCTCCCACTATGTAACAATAAGTAACGAATCCTAAAAATAATTTGTATGGATATTTTATCTAACGAGTATCCTTCAAATCATTTGTGTAAATCGTTCGTTATCGTTCAGGAATGGTATTCTTCTATTATTGTGGATAAGACCTCCCTCCCCCTTTTTGAAGCTTAATAACCACAGTAAACAGTTCAATTTTTATTACAATAGTAAGCTTTCATACAAGGAGCACGTGGATTTATTTATCAACACATTTTGTATTCGCATTTTATTTATTTTTTAACTTTGGTCAATCTGCAACCCATCTGCAGGCATTACGTAATTTGTGCACGAAGCCTTATGTGGCCGTCTCTAATGTGATGAAATAAAAGAAAGGCTGCCGCCGCCGCAATCAAGGCGGAAAATGATCAAAAGTCAAATTATCGCCTCACTTAACCCCATATCACTAGAAACGTCGGTTTGCAGACGGACACGCCACATCAACCAAGTTGACAAGGTTTATTTTAACGGTGGATGGATATCGGTTCAAGTCTATAGCTATAGGACTTTACTGAATTTATGTTTTGTGTATAGATGTACGTTTAACACTATTCTTTTTTTTTTCTTCTTACAGTTTGACTCCAAGACAAGCCCGTTGGCATTGCTGGCACAGACATGTAGCGCAATTGGTTCCGATTCACCTAATCCAAAACTTCTGGCCAACATAGAAAAGAGTACAAAAAACAACCGGGACAAACTGTCACCTGGTACACTATCCAGTGGGTCTTCAAATGATACTCCAAAATCGAGTTTCAAGCCATACGAGCCATCTACGGTGAATCATGACCGAACTAAGTCACCAGATGACAGTCATCATTCAAGTGCGAAAAATAAATCTCCTAAACGGTCCATCAGCGCATCTAATATACAACCCCAAAATGGTCGCTGTGAATCAAACCAAAGTGCTGCTTCATCTCGATCTTCTCCCTCGAATCACAACCGAAGAACTCCTGGTAGCTCGCACCAACAACAAGAGCGCAACAATAGTCCAAATCGTGCCTCATCCAAAGATTCACCGAATACGTTGAGCAGTTCTATGGAACCCGCAACCTTAAAAACACTTACGGAATCTGCAAGCAAGGATCCCAGCAGTAACGGTGAAAGCAATGTGAGAGCATCCACTTCAGCTCCAGCCTCTACTACAGTTGGACCACCGTACTATTCCGGATACGGAAGCTATCCAATGGATCTTATGACTGCTAGTGCACTGATGTCACCGCACCACCAAATGTTCAAAGCAGCGACTATGAACCCTTACTTCAATTACTCCAAAATGAAAATGCCAGGAGCACCTGACTCGATGATCCCAGTGTGTCGTGATCCCTACTGTACTGGTTGTGCCTTAAGCTCTCATATGCTGGGAAAACTCGGATCGTCCGGTTGTCCAGCGGGCTGTACTCAATGTGACCATCCAGGAAGCAAATCTTATTCACAAGCTGCAGCAGCAGCATCCTTAGCCGCTAGTCAATCATCCGCTGCTATGTATGCTCATGCTCAACTTGCCGCACTGGCGGCAGCTTCTCAGTTACCTTACGTATGCAACTGGATAGGCAGTGATTCATCCTATTGTGGAAAGCGATTCGCAGCTTCCGAAGAACTGTTTCAACATCTGCGAACGCAACACGCTGCCGGTCTTTCAATGTCAGAAGCTCTGCTTAACCCTGCCACAGCAGCTGCAGCCGCGGCAGGATTACCTCCATCCCATCCACTGTTCCAAAGAACTTATCCAACACCACCCTTAAGTCCCATGTCAACTGCCCGCTATCATCCCTACGGAAAACCATCTCTACTCCCTCCTTCCATGTCTCCGGCCTCTTTAGTCGGTATTCAGATGCCACCACATCCTTCACTAGCGCAGTACTTTCCTCCGTATTCGTTCTATGGAGCGCGATTAAACGGGTCAAATAATATGCATCCCTAAACGTTTTGTTCGGTTTGTAAATAATTTATCGTTTTCTTATGAAATGTTAGTCATCGGAAAGGAAATTTTAATGTAATAAAACGATACTTTGTCGAACTCTAGGCACTCTATTGCAATATTTCAGAGAAGGAAAAAATAAAATATTTTCTTGGAACAAACTCACTTCTTCACATGAACAGAAATATCACCGCCTCATTGAGATTTTTTTACAACTGCATATCACATAGATTCTAAGGCACTGATAATGGAGATGAAAGACGGTCTGAGCCCCGTCAAGAGAGAGAAAGAAGAAACGACGCATTAAAAGTAATCAAAAGATTCAAGTAATAAAAAGCGCTGTCTTTTGCCTTCATGAAGTGTCATCGGACTGAAAAACCTACATCTGGTTGGGTGATAAATCTTGTGTTACGCCATTTCTCTTGACGCGCACTAATTGCGATACTAAAAAGCTCACCAGCGGCGACGTGGCGTTGGCCATAAATTATCCACCCTGACCGAAAAGCAAGAATTATCATCATCGCTGCTGCTGCAGCAGGCAACATGAGACTAATACCGTTGGAGTTGGCGGCTGAGATGGCACAAGATCACAAGATGTTTGCCTGCTGTATACTGGTGGTGATAGAGTGGCTGTATCCAACAAAGATTGCATTTGAAATCATTTATTGAGTTGAAGGTAACCAAAATGCTCAAGGTGAAAGTAATCTAGTGATTAAATAAAAATTTCATAAAGGGTTTCTCTGCGATACTAGGCAATACTTCAATAATGAACATGTCCAAACCAGTTCGAAAAAGTAGTGTAAATTTCTGTTCAATATGATGCACATAAATGGAGCGTCACTTGTCATATAAGTTTACATTATAAATAATGTAAAGTTCTGAGACATTTCATGCAATGTAGCAAATATTGTATACAAAAGCCCATCTTTGTTAACAACATTGTTAACAAGTTGTTCGGTTGCATGAATCAAATACAAGTTTACGTGAATGAATGCTTACATCACAATTAAAATTCAGAATTTTTATCTGTGCAGGCAAAATTGACGCTCGTATATGTCAGTCTCAGAGCACCAAAATTTACATGATTTGTTCTAAGTGTGCATATATGTAAATAACTAAATTTACACTTAGTAATAAATAAATTTACACGTGACGGAATCCATCTTTGACATAAAAGACGAGACGTAAACAACCATGTCATGTAATGCTACGAGACTAAAAAGATCGTTGCACTACGAAAAGTACGTTTGATTGAACCATATTTCGCGTCTGTTATGGCTCAAATTTATGTCGAAATTCACGCTCGTATGTCACCCTCAGAGCACCTAAATTTACATGAACTTTTCTAAGTGTGTATGTCACTCTCAGAGCACTGAAATTTACATGATTCCAATTCTGTATATATCAGGCATAACATTTGATAACGGCACAAAAGCATTTGTAAACAAACTTTCTAAGGCCCTTTACACGCGAACCAAAGTACGCACACGCAAACCAACAACATCATCGGATAGGAGAAACTATCACCTTTCCGAAAGTGGTATTGGTTTGCGTGTGCGTACTTTGGTTCGCGTGTAAAGGGCCTTAGAAAGTTTGTTTACAAATGCTTTTGTGCCGTTTTCAAATGTTATGCCTGATATGTTTGCGCATTAGGAAATTCGAATGAATAATATAAAAATGAATGTTATGTTCGCGGAACTATCAATCGCGCAGATATCATGGTAAATTAATCTCATTCAAACAAGTATAAATACTTTTAAAAAAATCTTGTACATTTAGGTGCTCTGAGACTGACATATACGAGTGACAATTTTCACATAGAATTGAATCATAATAGACATGAAATTTAGCTCAATCAAACGTACTTTTCGTCGAGTAACGAACTTTTCAGTCTCGGAGCACTAAATTTTACATGAAATGTTTGTTTACGTCTCATCCTTTATGTCAATGATAGATTCCGTCATTTACACGTGATATTTCTAAGTGTGTAAGGTACACTAACAGGCGTGTAATTTTAAATGTCCTGTAAAATTACAAGGTGAGCCTATCTAAAGCCATCATGTAAAATTCAAGTGACGTTTACATGACATTTTTCAGGTCGTGTAAATTTAAAAACCAATTTAATTTTCATGAATATGCATGCTCTTTCTATGTGCATGGAAATTCGTGTAAGATTACAAAATAATTTGACGCTCTTTTGGAATTCAAGCTGGCGGCTTCTGGTATTTTTTTTAACTATCAAATTCCCTACAATATGGGTATTTTTAGAACGGAAACAACGTGTAGAAACTGAAAATCGATGGTTGATTCCATTTTGGAATCCGATATGTTGGTTTCCAGTTTTTAAAATCCACACAATTCAAAAAAGTAGCGTAAGTTTCTTTTCAATATAATGCACATAAATGGAGCGTCACATATCATATACGTTAACATTATATATCATGTAAAGTTCTGACATATTTCATGCAATGTAGCAAATATTGTATACAAAAGCCCATCTTTGTAAACAAAATTGTTTACAAGTTGCTCGGCTGCGTGAAATTAAATACAAGTCTACGTGAATGAATGTTTACATCACAATTAAAATTCAGCATTTTTATCTGTGCAAGACGGCGACTTCGTAATCTGGTACGCCAAGAAAGCAAGCAGCCGACCAAACCACTTCCTCGTTGAACGCTCAAGCTGGTATATCTCAGGATTAGTTTCAACAGAATCATTGCTAATCCGCCTCGAAACTAGTTAACCTGATTCCCACAATAAAAATAGCAAAAAATCTTACATATTTTATTTCTTATTCATTATTGTTTATTCATCAACATGCGAAACAAAATAAAAAAAATCAGCATAAAATGTAAGCAAATAAATTACTAAAACATTCGGTAACTAGTGATTTTTCCATTAACAGAGTATTCAGTTAACAAAGAGACGCAGTAAAATTTTACCGACTTTGGCAATCTAGACTCTATGTGTGGAAATGCAACGTATCGAAATCATTTCTAAGCAAACGTAATATATTATGCCGTCTTCCTTGGCCAACGCAGCACGCATTCTATTCAAAAATTACTTTCCTATTTTATAACGTAGGAAGGAGAGGTAGGATGGTGCAAAACGCAACGTTTAAACAAGGTCCTCAATTGCTTGCGTATGGAAGCTGAAATCAAGGAGAAAGTAATTTAATATGGTACAAGTACCTGCATATGCTCCAACTATGCTCGCACGCTTCCACTATGTCGCACCACAAAAATACGTATGGGTATGTCATAATAGAAGCACGCCACAGTGGAAATCCCGAGCCATAGTTCAAACACTTATCCTAAATCAAAATGAAGCACATATAAGATTAGTTACAAAACCATGTACAATAATGATGTTTAACATTGTTTCCTGAGTAATACTTCAATGAAAACAACAATGAAAGCTTGTCAAGCACTTTCTGAAATATTTCAACAGTATAATTCCCTTGCAAACCCAAATAAATCTATCTGCGTAAAAATAAATAAAATAAGAGTGATTTGCGGCAAAACCCGCCAGTATCACACCCAACGTCAGTGCCTATACGTAAGCGTACTACGACGCGGCTCTCAATCAAAGGAGTAACAAGTGTGATACTATCACTTCTAGACTAGATCTTTGGTTCTCTCATGCAGTGGTTTAACAGAGAGGGGAAGCTTAGTAATCCCCATTGCCTGCCCATGGCGTCATTCTATCGCGGCATGAGCAACGGCAACGCCGGCCATAGCAAGGTGCAAAAACTAGCCAAGGGGAGGGATATTTTGTGATCAACTTATTAAAAATTTATTATTCAAGGGTGGCTCCAAAATGTTTTTTTTTTTTTTATTTGTTATTGTAAAGTTGAACATTATTAGGCAATAATAAATATCCGTAAACATTTTTAACGCTCTAGATCAAGTAAAAATCTGTACCCTATTAACCCTTTTTCTAGTAAAACCCATTTTATTATATTGCAAAAATACTTTATTTTACTTAATCAATAATACTTTTTTGATTAACATCAGGTAAATTTATAATCTGTTAATGAAAAAGTTTTAATTGAATGAAAAAAAAACAAATTTTCAGCAATTTATCATATCTTCACCAATTTGTTTTTATATTTTCCAAATAATTTGGGAATACTAATCTGAGGTATTTTGACAGCTTCAGAAGCGTTGATCAATTTTTCAAGATAAGCAATTTTTCCAACTTCTCAATGTAAAAAATTAGACTTTGGCGTTATCTATGTGGATGAGATCTGTTTATGCAGCAATTCCATAGAAAAAAGTTAGTCTCAGAATTTTGTAAAATTTGTATAGTTCTTCCTTATCAAAAAATATTAGACTCATATTTTTTTACCCCGCCATTAGGGTAACCATTTCCGTGTTATGGACTCCGAATTTTTTTTTAATGCCTTCATTCATAACTTCTGAACCTCTTGACCGATTTTCACGGCTGACCATTTAAATGAAAGGAGTTTTAATTTAATTTTAAGGAAAATTATGCAACACTCAGAGATATTTGATTTTGTATGTAAAAAAAATACAAATGCTTTTTCTTGATTTTCACTGCGAGGGTCTTCAACAACTTCTTATATTAGTATTTTTAATTGAAAGATCATTTAATTTTACACAACATATAGAAATTAGCGATGTCGAAAAAGTCGTTTTGAACATTTATTTTTAAATTAAAAAAATCATTATTCCGCAATATATACACCACTTATGCATGGAAACGATGAAGATGCAAGGTAGTTATCAACCCAAGTAACACATAAAACAACTTTTTGAAAATTAATTAGAACGATTTGTTATACAAAGGTATTATAAGTGATGCAGAAAACATCCCATTCCATATGAGGTTTATAGATGTTTTCTTCATACTTCCTAGATTTCAACATTTTTCAAAATAGTTTTCTTTTGTTTTTATCAATAAATGTTATTTAAACGTGCATTTTACTGTTTTAATACCACTATAAAACACGTCATATACAAAAACAACCTTAGTTGAATTTATAAAGTTCTTGAAGAGATTCTGTACTTTCCATTGACTGGCGTGGGCATTGACGGCGCCATTGAGCCGGACTGTCTCTTCACGCAGTGATTGACAGTTTCTTATGAGGTTTTCGGAGGTTTGTTATAAAGAAAGTGGAAAACACTTTTTTATGT